TTAGATTTTAAAACAAACAAACAAACAAACAAGCAAACCCCAAAGGAATTGAGGGTTCCAAAGTGTGAAACTAATGAAACTGCAGTGGCATTTTATAAAATCAATCCACCTCAGTACAAAGGCCAGAGCAAGTTGAAATTTAGATTGGCTAACGCAAATACATAGCAAACACAATGCTGTTTCTATTGACTCAAGCAATAAACCAGAAATGAAGGACAGGTGCTCGAGTTCCCTGATGCAATCCTGTTTGCAAGTGACATGCACAGTTCCCAGGGCAAAAGGAACCAAACCACCAGGGAAAGTGAGGATGTCCACTCACACCTCCAGTCCTCCCTCTGTTCAGCCTCAGGGAGGTATGTCCCTTCCTAGCTTTCCTCAGGGCCTTGTTCTCTCTCAGGGCCTGTTTTTCACCATGTCCTTGTCTTTCTTCATTGCTTCTGTTTTCCCACCCTTATCTAAAAATCTGCCCTTTGAGTCCCTCTGAAGATGCTCTTCCCACACGCTTTTGAGCACCTTCCTTTAGTTTTCGAGGCAGCCTGCATCTGTGTTTTGGTATTGAAATACAGTATAGGGGGGATACTTCTATCAATGTAGATAGGCTGTGTACAGGAGCCCTTTGAGGCCGACTTTTGAGCAGGAAGAGCACAAACCAGCTCAGACACAGGGCTTCAGTCTGGTCATAATCGTCAAGTTGCTTGGCTCTGTCCTTAGTGCTTTACCCTCAGCGAAGCACCACACTTCAGTCCGACATCCTGATGTCAGTAAGGTTTATACAGAAGAAGCATTTGACTCAGGGGAGGATGCCAGCCAGCATTAGTGATGAGCATATGGAGAAAGGAGTGTCCTAGGATCCCCACATCCCAGCAGAACTACACTTGGAACACCTTTATGCAGATATGTCTGCAAAATGAGGCTCCCACTGCCCGCACTTGCTCTCTGTTAGATCATGTCTCCAATTCCCGTTAGTGGATCTGCAGAAATGGAACAGCAGAGCCACAGGGAATGTCACCTCTGACAGGTTAGACCTGTGGATTTGGCCTGCTCGGAGTGTTAGAGAAGCAATTTGAAATCTCAAAATTCTTAACTCCTGTTTTAGACAATTACACCGGGCACACAGAAATCTTTAGACATTTGTCATGTCACCAAAGCTTGGGAGAGAGCCAGGAGGAAAGTTGTATCATTCTATAAAGCATATGGAGTCTTCTCTGTCCCACAGCCTCTGCTCTCAGTCATACCAATAAGTAAATATTTAACAATTTAGGCAAAAAATCTGCAATCTCAAAACTGGTACAGGTACCTAACTTGTGGGACTCTGCATGGGGCTTATATTGTCTATGTTGCAGAATATGAATTTTATTAGGGAAAAAGGCATCAAAAATCTACCAAATGTGCATAGCATGTAGGTTTTCAGATAAAAGAAAAAAATGTCTTCACTTTAATATTCATATTTTAACAGAAAAAGGACACTTTGTGTCCTAAAAATACCTAAAGATAACATCTTCAGAAATGCTTAGTCAGTTTGTTTATCATGGACAAGCTACACCCAACTTTTTAAGACTGAACTGCAAGAGGATGGGTCTCACTGTATCCACTCAAGATACCCTTAGGAGAGGTTGGAATTTATGTCAGAAAAAAACCAATTCCCAGTATAAAGTTCTCACCAATTTATGATCTTGTAACTGCTATATAGCTATGTTAATGCAAGTCTAGTAAGCAGATAAACCAGTTTTGCTATGCATAAATCAATCTGCATGTCGATTCTCTGGTCTTGGATCCTGTCTTAACTTATCTGACTGTCAGAAGTAGAAGGTGCATTACTTTTAGTTTCCTGCAAACCACCACCTTCTTTTGTACAATTTATAAAAAGTGGGTTTTAGTGCTATTTCTGCTACCTTATTATGAAGTCCACTTTAGGTCCACACAAAGTCTGAGTTCTCAACTAAAACTCTAATCCTTCAGTGACAGGAGTTTTAGCTAACTTGGTAGCGACTCCTGTTGTATGCTGAATAATGCCTACTAATTTATTAAGCGGACCATAAACATCTCATAATAGTCAATGAAATTAATTAACGCCATCATTTGGGTTGTTGCCACCTTCAGAAGTGCTAATAAATAATAAAGTGCTAATAAAGTGCTAATAATAGTAAATTAAGGAATTCAGGGTATTCTTGTCAGGCTTAAAAGAGGAATTCTGCCTGTGGTAATTTCAGTTCTTCTCACTAATAGCTGTAAGGTGGTAGCTAGTACCTATGCTAATGACTTGTCCATGAGCCCATGCCCTCTTCATAAATTTCCCTTTTTAAAGCTTCCCCTTATATGCAGATGAACTATTCATCTGTCCCCAGACAGGCAGAGAACTCTTACAGCAATTACAGCAGCAAAAAATACCAGTACCTTTTTTTGGAGAGGCTGGCAGTTGTATTTTAACTTAACAAATTGCCTTTAAAGATCATAAATCGTGGTCTGTGTGATTCTCTTTATCTTTGAGGATGTCACATGCACATTTTGAACAACAGCTAGTATTTTGTTAATCATTAATGAACTTAGGGCCTTCCTGACTTTATCTTTTGCAAAACTTGTGCAATTGTACTTAAAGCATGATCAAAATATGTTTTACAGTCTCAGTACTTTTCTGTAGTTTGCTCTCTGGATCTATCATTTTAATGAAACATCTCATAAAATTATTTAACTATCCTCTAAATGATTAATTATGATGGGTTTTCGAGACCCTTCTTTACATCAAGTCATGGGTTACTTACCCTATTTGATGACAAGAGGGAACAGAATTAGGATTATAATCTACATCACTGGCTCTTCCTTGCATCCCTTCTAGTTTTTCCAACTGCCAGGCCATTATGATCAGTACAAATTATTTATTAAAAGCTTAGCTGTCTCTTGGGACCTTTCCTTGGAGAGTATAGAATAACCAATTCTAATAACAGCATAAAATCAATCAACTTTAGTAATTTTTACAATTTATAAGTTCATATCCCAGAAAGAGAAATTTGATGCTACTTGAATACACCTGTATCAAACTCATTTTGGCCTGTTAAATGCTAGTTTTAATGCAGCTAAAAACCTACAAAATTGACTTAAGTTGCTATAAAATGGGCTGAGAAACAAATCAAAGGCCAGACAGAAACAGAGGAAATGAATTTTCTTTGCTTGGTACTGTGGGTACTGCATTTTCCACCCCACCATAGGTGGGTGCATTTCACCTGAAGAGGATGACAGCCATCTGTGCCTATCACAGGTCCATTTAGAGCTGCTCCCTTCTAGCAATTAGTGATAAGAGGGCTCTGACCTGAGCCCATGCTTATCTGGGCTTTGGTCATTTATGAGGTAGCCATGCCTGCAGGTGCCAAGTGAGCCTTCACCTCTGTGAACACCTCTGTTTTAACAAGCTGGAGATTGAATCCAGGATGCTGAGGTTTTAGAGTTTTTCCCCCTCAAATTAAGCAGTGTGTGTATTGCTTTAGGTTGTATACTATATATAAAGCATAAATATTTTTCTGCCTCACAGGTACTGCTTTGTCTTTTTATTGATCTTCCCGCAGTACTGACTGGTCATTTAGACTGCAACAGGGTAATCCTTCATAGGGGAGATCTCATAGCCAGTCTACAGCTTCCCTATGACAGGAAGCAGAGGGGCAGGCACTGATTTCTTCTCTGCGACAGCGCCCAAGGGAATTGCCTGAAGTTGTGTCAGGGGAGGTTTAGGTTGGATATTAGCAAAATGTTCTTCAACCAGAGGGTGGTTGGGTGCTGCAAGAGGCTCCCCAAGGCAGTGGTCACAGCACCAAGCCTGACAGAGTTCAAGAAGCATTTGGACAATGCTCTCAGGCACATGGTGTGACTCTCGGGGTGTCCTGCGCAGGGCCAGGAGTTGGACTACTCGGCCCTCATGAGGCCACATCTGGAGTGTTGTGTCCAGTTCTGGACTCCTCAGTGCAAGTAAGACTTGGAGGTCCTGGAGCGGGTCCAGCAGAGGGCAACAAAGATGATTAAGGAACTGGAGCATCTCTCTTACAAGGACAGGATGAGAGAGATAGGCCTGTTCAGCCTCAAGATGACTGAAGGGAGGGTGTCAAGAGGTTGGTACTAGGCTCTTCTCGGTGGTGCCAAGCAATAGGATGAGAGGCAACAGGCAGAAACTGATGCCCAGGAAGTTCCACCTGAACATGAGGAAGAATTTCTTTACTGTGCAGGTGACCAAGCACTGGAACAGTCACAACCAGAGATGTGGAGTCTCCCTCACTGGAGATATTCAAGAACCATCTGGACACAATCCTGTGCAATGTGCTCTAGGATGACCCTGCTAGAGCAGGGAGGTTGGACCAGATGACCCACTGTGGTCCCTTCCAACCTTATTCATTCTGTCATCTTTGTGGGTCCCTGCCAACTCAGCATATTCTATGATTCTGCGGGGTTTCGGTTTTTTTTGGGGGGGCAGGCTCCTCAGCGTTCTATGGAAAAATGAACCACGGCACGGTTTAAGTTGGGAAGGGACCTTAAAGCTCATCTTGTTCCAGCCCCCCTGCCACTGAACCAGGCTGCTCAGAGCTTTTACATCCCCGGAGGCGGGGGAGAGAAGCGGACCCTCTGAGGCACGACCGCGACAGAGTAGGCGCGGGACCCACCCCGCCATTCCCGGCGGGCAGGCGGGACCTGCCGCCACTTCCCGCCTCCTGCCCCCTCCGCGTCCGGCCGCCGCCGCTTCCGGGGCGCGCGCTCCCGCCATGCCGCGGGGCGGGGGCGGGGATCACCAGTGCCTGGCACCCGTGACGTCACCTGGCGTGAGGAAGTGCCCTCTCATTGGCTGCGCTTCCCCCTCTCCCCTCCGCTCGCGCCTCTCATTGGGCCCCGCGGCGTTGGCCAGCCAATGGTCGGCGGCGGGAGCGGGGAGGCACCGCCCCGGCCAGCGCTCGGGGGCGGGCGCCGCCGCCATGTTGTCGTGAGCGGCGGCAGCGGCGCTGCGGACGCGCCGGAGCGGCGGGCGCGGCCCCCGGGGCGGCCGGGACCTCCCGCGGCGGCGGCTCCTCCCCGGCGGGTGCCCGCGGCGCTGCTGCTGCTCCCGCCGCAGCCTCCCCCCTGCGAATGATGCGGCGGGAGGCGCCGCTGGGCTGGGTCGGAGCTCGGGCGGCGGCAGAAGCGGTGGCTCTGGGCAGTGCCCGGTCGAAGAAGGAGGAGGAGGCGGCGGCCGCCCGGTCCCCAGCGCCCCGCGGCGGCCGGGCGGGCGCAGGATGCTGAGAGCGACCCCGCGGCCTGGTCGCGCCGCGAGGAAAGGGCCCCCCCGGGGCTGAGCGCGGAGTGGCCCCATCCCGTCCCCCGTCCCGCACGTGCTTTCCCCCCCTCCTCTCCCTGCGTCTTCTCCAGCCCCTCGCCCTCCCGGCGCCCCTCCCCGGCGGCCCCGGTGCCGAGCGGCCCCGCCCCGTCCGGCCCCTCCCGCGGCGGGAGCGCGGCGGGGCCGGCGGAACATGGCGTGGGTGCTGAAGATGGACGAGGTGATCGAGTCCGGGCTGGTGCACGACTTTGACGCCAGCCTCTCGGGCATCGGGCAGGAGCTGGGAGCCGGTGCCTACAGCATGAGGTAACTCCCTCCTGTAACCTGTCCCCGGCGGCAGGGCCGCGTCCCGACCGGGCTCCCCGGGCCACCCGGCCCGGCCCTGCCCGTGCCTCGGGCAGCGAGCGCGGGAACGAGCCGCGGCTTCCCACGCTACTTCCCTCGCTTTTTTTATTGCTCTGGCTCCCAGAGGCTCTTCCCGAGGAGCGGGCACGTATCGGAGGGGCTCCCGCCCTGCCCTCCCTTTTCTCCTGGCAGGTGGCCGCTTGGAAAGGGCTGGCGGGCGGGCGGGCGGCTGCCTGGAATGGGGGGGGGGGGGCCTTTCCTTTTATTTGTGTAATCCCTGCCGTAAAAATGACACTTCGCTGTCCCTGGGAGATGTAACCGCAACCCACGGTCCGAAAGATTGTCATCTTATACTGGACAAATATAATTCTTATTTACAATAAACACTAACTGTTTTCTCCGGCGTTTAAAAATGTTCTTTCTCGATCAGGTAAACGTAGTTTAATAGGGTAGTAGTATGCTTGTATTTTAACCAATTTAAGTGTTTAAGTAGCGTTTGGGTGTGCTTTTTCGAAGCTAAGATAAAATTGTACTTGTTTGAAATGAGTAAATTTTATTTCACTTATGGGCGAAATGTGTGGATTTCCGAGTGAGTATTTAGGATGGGAAGGAGAAACTGTTTTGGAGGCACCGGGAGACATTTTAGTTCAAGGTTTTGGACAGGGTTAGTGTTTTGAGAGTCTGGAGAAACAGAGCAGTTGCATTTGATAGTTTTGAGGCCTAGCCTGTATGGAAGGCACATACATTCTCTCTCAGGTGACGTTTCATCTATTAAGTGTATTTTAAGGCAGTACTTCCCAGGTGAAGTGTTGAAAGTGCGGTGTCGTTACTGGAAGTTACAAATAAGGCCTTCAGCTGAATAGAAGTGAGGACCCTTCTGTTAGTATTTGGGATTGTGAGCTCGGCAGGTTGACAGTGGTGTATGTTTTTGATGGGGGGGGTTGTTCTCTGTGGGGTTTGGTTTTTTTGTTTTGTTTTGTTTTGTTTTTTTTTTAATTAAAAATAACTTTGAGAACGTGCCAGTTCAGGGAACAAGGTGATTCATCTCTCTTGATGAGAATACTCCTGATTTTGTATTCAGCTTCTCTGGATTTTATCCCACTTCTGTCCCATTTCTGCCTTAGCAAACATTCATCCCATGAAGAGGTGGGCCAGTTTTTGTGGGCAGCTGCATGGAGGTTGCCTGGATGGCTTCTTAGTGTGCAGACACCTATGGATAATGCGTGTGCTCCTGTTTAAGAACTGCTCTTCCTTCTCTATCACGATTCAGTTCTTTCTGGGATTTCTTATGATTAAAAATACTGAGTTTTGATTGGGTTTTAAAAAATACTTTCCTTTCTTTTCAGAGACTTCATTTCTCCTCCCAGTAATGCTCACTGTTCAGTTTCTTGGAACTGTAAGAATTGTAACTTTTACTGTTGGATGGATTGTTTTTTTCTGCTCATGTCATCCTGTTATGGTGGGGAGCAGTCCTAGGTGGTTTTTAGTTACAAAGACTTGCCTATTAGGACATTCTGAATTACCAGAAAAAGAGTTGTAGCTGTTAAAAGCACTTAAGAAGTAATATTGCATAAATTAAGCTATACATTAGACTTAAATTTTCTTGCGTGCTTTGCCTAGGATGTGTTTTTGGAAGACACAGGCCAGTAGTATTATTTGTAGCTTCAATCTCTGACCCCATAGTTAAAGGGATCACCTAGCTGCAATTAGGGTTTGCTGGATTCAGAGTGATTTCAGCAAGTATGCAAGTTATTTTATGTATTATTTAGATTTTTACTTCAGAGAAATTTTGACCTGTTAAGTGATGTGAGGGGGGGAAATTAAGAGAAGTGGCATAGCATGAAGAGTGAGAGATACTGCTTTCTCACTGTTCTGTGCCAGTAGAAGCTAATTACTTGTCACTGTCTTATGAAAAAATGATAGAAGAAAAAGAAGTATTGCCTAGAGGAGAGTGTTGGGAGAGCTCCCTAAGGTATATCCCATATTTTGTTACCAAGACCTGCATGTAACTATTTTACCTATTAGGATTGTATTTAAAGTAGTTGATGTGTCCTCGAGTTGATGATGAGTCAGTGCTCTGGAGTAGAATATATGGCATTACTCCTGTGTTTATTCTTATTAAGAAAGCTGCTCATGTCTGTTGAACAGTGACTAAGTTTCTTTTTAGAAGGCAGCTAAATGCCTCCTGAATTTCTCTGCAGATTCACGTGGTTTTAAATAGTTTTCAAAATTTCTTTATAAAAGCTTGAAACCCATTTTTTCTGATTGCTGTTCTAACATCCTCTCACGCAATAAAAAACTGCCTATAAACACAAAATTCAATTCAACTGATAATAACAGTTGTCAGATATGTCAGATAACACACCTCCCCCAAAACCTATATAAAACCACAGTACCTTTAGTGATAGTGAGTTTTGAGTATGTTATATTCATGGCAGTTACTGCCTTAACTTTAGAGTCGCTGTGCAAAAATAAAAAAAGGAGTTATCTCATTCAGGCCCTGCCTTTGGCTGCTGTTACATTATGACAGACAAAATGACTGTTTATGCTTCCCCTAACGCCTCCCACTCTTTTGAAACTGCTGCTGGATATGTTTTTTTTATTTAAGAGGAATGCTTACTTAAGGTATCCTGAATTTTTTATTTCCTTTTTCTTTTTCTGATGTACACAGTATTTTCTGCAGAATACATTGTAAAACTTCTGTTGCAGTGGTCTGTCTGTTGTTACGCATTGCACTGTAGAAAAAATAATTTTCACTGACATCTAGACTCTGTAAAATAAAATGTTATGAACTGATTAGAATTGGAGCTTGATTCTTTATGCAAGCGCATAAATATATAAATACCTGTCTGGAAATAGGCATTTGAAGGAAAAGAGAATCCACAAACCTAATCCTCCTCACTTTGTTACCACAGATAAAACATGCTGAAAGATAAACCTCATGTTGTAGATCACTGACACTGGACTGAGGTTGAGGTTATTTTTTTTGTTTCTTCCTAGTCAAGTGTGTGAATACATTACAAAAAGTCAGGTGCCAGTTTAATTTTTAAAGAAAAAACTTCAAATTCCAGAACTCCCTTTCTGTTCCTGTCACCTCTTGTGGTGGATGGACATCTCTGATTGAGAGCAGGGCAGCGAGTCTGCCCTTGTTTGCTCTTCATGCATTACTCCTATGTAGGAGCAATCTGTACTAGAGGAGCTGCCTGACCTCCCTGTGCTGGAGGACTGGATGGAGAACTGTGGATTTGTCATGGTGAACTTTCTTACTTTTCCTTGGTACAGTCAAGAGCTTAGGAAGACACAAGTTTTGGTGTTGGCATTTTCTTCTTTCTTTCATTGGTTAGTCCTTGTATTTTGTGCTAGACACCCTTTAAGTTGAAGCCTTTAACCATTTAACCATGTGGTGGCTTGTGGGATTCCCAGGAACAGCATTACATTTGCACCTGTTTCTCATTCGTGTTGCACTTCTTGACAGCTGCTGCAGAGAAAGTTGTTTCCCAGAAATTAATTCCAGGGCTCTTGTCTCACATCAAACTTGCTTTTCCAGACACAGGGAAAATGTTAGGAAGTACCAGCTCTCCCATTGCCTTATATTTTCCTATGGCTTGTTCACACTTCTTAACAGTGCAGAGCTTGGCTTTGAGATAATGACCCTTGATTCAGATACCGCTTGGGAAAATTTTTTCTCAAGGTATTTGTCCTCGTAAACTGTGCTTTAAAGTTTCAAAAGGCCTGTGTGTTCTTGAGATGCTTTAGTACTCACACCCAAAAGTATACAATCCAGAAGACAGATAAGGCAGATGATTGATGTGACATCACTTTGAATTTTGATGACATAGTAGTTCCTGTTCTTGTAAGGACAGGAGGTTCTTAATTTATTTTGTGACATTATTATTATTATTATTGAGGGTTTTTTGTATGTGTGTATTAGCTTGTTGTAAAATGCTTCAGACAAAGTATTGAAAAGAGGGTTTTAAATTTATAAGGAGGGTGATTTTTGAAGGCTGACAAACACATTTCACAAGCTTGGGAGGATAAATTACATTTTTTTTTTTATCTTTTTGTACTATGCTCATGTAGGCTATATAACATAGGACAGCTTCCCTCATGTGATCTATCCCACTGGATGCTTTCATTCAAGTGTTTCATTCACCTTGCTTCCACTTCTAAGCTTTCCTACTTTTGTATGGTCAAATTTCATTTGTGCACCTCTGTAGCATAGCTTGCTAAGACTGAGTGTTGGAGGATATGTTCACTGCCTGCTCTTCATGTGTAATGAAGACTGTGTCTGTTTGGGTCTTTCTGGGAAAGTTTTCCTCATCCCTCTAGGAGGAAAGAATGTCTTTCATTTGAATGCTTTAGATAACGCATTCTGAGGGACTGAGATAAGACTTTTCTTACTGGAGCTAATAGTTTCAAAAACTTGGTCTCAGCGTTCCTTCCACGAGGAGAGTAAATCTTGATAGGTCAACTTTTTCAAATGATATCAAAAAATCTGATGAAAGATGCTGCGTGTCCTTCATAATGTTGCTACTCACATGTCAGCTTGCTTTTAGTAGTCTTAAAGTTCACTTAAATGAGACAAGTGAGGTAAATTAGTCTTTACTTCACAAGATCAAAAGTTAACAGTGACAAAAAAAGAACAGAATCTCTTAAAGGTCTCTCTTCTCCTGTAGCCTGAAATACTTTCAACAGTAGCTATTTTGGAACACTTGCTTTTCCTCCATCTGGGCAGCTCTGCCAGTGGGTGCTTCAGTGTTGTTAAGAGGTTCTTTGCCATGTAACCTGAGCAGAGTTGGCAGTAAAAGTCCCTGTCACTAGTCTGCACTGGGCCAGCAAAAATCACACTTCACCAAGTGAGTAGGAAAGTAACTAAAGTATGGGCACACAAGTATACACAAACATGGAGGCTGCGGGGCGTTTACTGGTGGCAGATGATTTGTACTGCCAGGCTACTGGCTCATGTTAAATGCAGAAATTGTATTGAGGATCTGAGGGGAAAAAAGCTGGAGCTGAGAAGGCTGATCTGCTTTCCTGGTTGTTTTTTTTCTTCTTTTTGTTTTGTTGGGTCTTACAGTAGAATCACTATAAGCCTAGAGGTGGTAAAAAGACTGATTCAGCATCTCCATAGTTTCTGGGAACGTGATTGACATAATAGCGTATATTATGTGCAGTTTATAATCTTCAGTTTAAGTAAAGAGCACTATTAAAAATACTAAATTTCTGTTTCCCATTGGTTTCCTTCTCTGAATTGTGAGCACTCTTTGCATATTTTCTTCAACTGTGCTGTGCGAGCAGTGAGTTTTGTAGAAAATCCTTGTCACTGAAGTTTAGCTGGTCCCTATTTAGCTGACACTTTAAAGTCTTAATTTGAAGTATTTTACTCATACTTCATTGACTGTTTTAATTGCCTTTAGCTTTTCCCTGTTTAGATGGGGGAAAAGTGTATGTTCAAGTGTGAAAACACTGATATTTCATTCTTTATGAGTGAACAAATCAAAAAGTTATTTAAATTATATTTCTTTTAAAGATGGTCTGGAAAGGATTTTAAATTACATTGGTGTCTCTTTTCCTTTGGAATGTACTAGTACCCAGAAGACTCTTTTATAAGAAAAATTTGCCTTGTACTGTTTTCTGGAGTGTTTTTTTGGAATGGTGGCATTTAAGAATGAACATTATGCTCTCTTTACAGCTAAATTTTAGGATTGTGGAGTTGGATGTCTTTATTTCTATTTCTTCAGTGGCAATTAGTCATTACCACTTTGTAAGTATTAGCCAAAGCAGGGTTAAAGCTGGTTAAATTGGTCTTCCATTTGTATTTGTTGACTTCCAATGCCTTGTCTCTTAACTAATTCATTAACCACATCACACTTTCTTAAGCCAGACCAGCTACAGTTTTATCTGTAAATTGTGGGTGGAAAATGAAGGCTTGAAAGATATTTTTCATACATACACGAAAGACTTCTCTCTTTAATCTTGTGTGTTATGTGAAGGCAAGTGCTGCAGAACTCAGTTGAGAATTACAGGTTGTTTATTTGGAGAGATACTTTGCACGCCTTCACTGTTGCGCTTCGACTCTTACGTGTGTATTTGAAACATTGCTCTTGTTTCCGTGTTCTTGCCATTTTAAAGTTCCTCCTCATAAAAACACTAGTGTTTTATGTGCCAAAGTGTGTGGTGAGCAGCAGTTCTGTCCTGGGACTGTGCTTCCCTCTGCTTGTCACAGTGCTGCCTCCTGCGCTGGGCCGCTGGGCTGCCCTTCTGACTGACACCAAGGCTCGGAGCATCTCATTATTTCTTCTGAGTCATCCTCAAGGAGCAGTCTCCAATATACCGAGTTTTCTGTCTTACTCGTCGGTGTTGTGAGATATTGGTTCCGAATCTCACTGAATTATTGATATGGGTCAGAACCAACTCAGCGTCAGTGTGTGTGCGCGTGCGGAGAAGAGCTGGGCCTAGACCCGCAGGCCCGTGGTAAGGCCTGCACATCAGGCCTGCACATCAGGCCTGCACATCAGGCCTGCACATCAGGCCTGCACATCAGGCCTGCTGAGGGCACAGGGCAGAGCCGGAAGAACTGCACCAGACGTGGCTGAGCCCACGCAGAGCCCGTGGCATCACTGAAGGCGGTGCAGCCGGGCTGTCAGTGAAGGCAGACCTGCCTGGTAGCCCACCCGCACCAAGCCCCTGGAGCCTGTGACTGCCTGCAGCACACCTCACTCTGGCCTGGAAGGCACTGACTGGATATCCTTTCTGGGAGGGAAAACTGAACTCTGTAAATACAAGAGACTCCATGTGCGCTCTCTCTCTGTGTCTTTCCTCTCCTGCAACCTGAACCATGTGAACCATCAGATCTTGTTGGTAACCATTTTTCCTCTCTCTCCTTCTCTCTTTCTTCTTTCTTTACTCTTTTAATCCGTTTTCTTCTTTTACTCTTTTTCCTTCTCTTTTGGGTAACTTAGAACCAATGAATGGGGTTTTACTAAAGCTGGTATATTGATTGTTTTTAGTGAGGGTTTTCTGTGGCATGGGTGTTTGTGCTGGGTGTTTTAGTGAAATACTTTTTCTTGGTTGTATTTTACTGCTGTAAAATCTTTTGTCAAAATATCTTATTTTCCTCACTAAATTAAAAGAATTTCTCTTAGAGAAGAGTGTGTAACTCTTTCTCCGGGCACTAATTAGAGGTTATAACGAACCAGAAGGCTTTTAAAAAGTCTTCAGTAAAATGGAACCACTCTGGGCAGCTTATGGCTTAAAATCCAGAGTGTAACAGATGTGGTGCTCCTTTTCTCTGCACAAGTAAACTCCTTTAAGAGTGTTCACTTCTCCCAAATGGGTATTTCACATTGTCTTCCTTTGTAACTTAGTTAAGCCTTCTCTGGGCTCCAGTTTGAGAAGCTGGCATCAGAAGTAGTTAGAATATGGTACAACAGGCTAGTAATGCTTTTTTGGACAGTGTCCTGCCTTGTTCTGCTTTCATGCCTCTTTGTAGCACCTTCTGTGGTCCCTCCCTAGAGGAAAGGAACCTGCATGCATGGGTGTCTTTTGATATAAGCTGGATTTCAAGAGGAATTTATAATAGAGTTCTCTTTAAATAAAGTAAGCTCTTGCAGAAATGGAACAGCGGAGAAAAAAATTTAAATCCAAAACTTCTGAGTACAATGTGCAAATAATAGTGCAATACAGATAAGACAGCTGTAATTCTTTTACAAAGTATATTAAATCTATGTTTATGATCAATGTAAGAGATAAAACGATACACGTTGGTTAAAAACTGAGTCAGTAGGTGAGGTGGTGTGAGAAATCTTTGAAAATATATTTCTAAACTGAATTAAGAAAGTTTCGTAGATCTGCAGATGATTTCATCATGAACAAAAATTCAGTGCAAGAAAAAGTCTTTGAAGTTTAATTTATGAGGGATTACTGTATACAAAGCAGACTAATCTATTGCTAATACAGATTATTCATTTCTGTGGAAAGCAGAAGATGTGTTTGCCGGTTGAGGTGAAGCTGTCTTTCTTACAACAGCCTGTGGACAGCATGGATTGCTCTTTACTCTTCTAAAATTTAGCAGTTCTAAAGTTTTCTGGTGGTTGTAAGTCTTACCTATGTGAAGTGAATCTTGGCATAAACTTTGTATAACTTTTGTGAATCTGTGGCTTAATCATTTTTGGGCTAAAGCCTAAGAAAAGTTATGATTGAAAAATCTCCAGTGTCCACAGAATTAATAGGCTAGATATAATGGTACTAAATGGGGAGAGATACTTTCACAGTGTAGGTAACTTACTTGGGGGAATATATTATCTCAAAAAAGAAAATAAAAGCCTTGCTTTCATCTGCATGTTTGTTAGGCAAGCTTACCTGTGTTGACAGGCAAAAAGTTTAATGAAAACTGGATTTTTTCAGTGGAGGCAAGAACTGAAGATTAAAATTTCATAGGAACAGCACAGCTTTATTTATTGCCTGCTTAGGTCCTACAGCATTGTTTATGTATCCTAGCCTAAAGTTCTGGTGGACAATGTTTTGGGTACTGCTCATATAGGTTTCACTAATAAACTGAGTGACACAGTTCTGTATATATCTCACTGTGAGGTTTTTTAAGTCACAAATAACTTTTTTTTCCTTAACTCCAGGCAAAACAGGGCCAACAGTCTCACAAAGTTATTTGTTTTGTTCTTTTCAGTGATGTATTGGCACTGCCTATTTTCAAACAGGAAGATTCCAGCCTTCCACAAGAAAATGAGACCAAACATCCACCCTTCCAGTATGTTATGTGTGCTGCAACATCTCCAGCAGTAAAATTATATGATGAAACTCTCACATACTTGAATCAAGGTTGGTATACACATGTGAAGGCACCTTGTGGTGCAGGTCTAAAACTGGAATGGTGTTTCATGTTTTGATACACGTATATATGTATATCCAAAATGAATGTATGTAAAAAATTAGGTTGGATGCCTTACTAGTAGTCTTGTTTTATGTTTAGCTTGTAGGCTCATGTATGTTGTTACTTCCCCTTTAGAGTCTGGTGGGGTTTGGTTTGGTTTGTTTTTTCCTGCTCTGTGTTGCCCCTCTCCATCCCCCACATCCCTCAATAAAATCAAGCCAATAGAGCTTTTAGAAGACAGATTTCAGGTAGTAATAGCTTAAAACACAGGATTAATTTTGCATTCCTGTTTAGATTTGATCGATAGTTGCAAGTTAGTTGGATATTTGCATAAGATACACACAAACAACCCTCAAAAGTCATAATAAATGTTATAGTATCAATCCCTGAACAAAAAGTGTTGCACAACAGAGGCCACTGTAATTGTTCTTAAATTAGCTATGCATATCTGCCCGGAACAGTGTTATGTTTGAAATATAAACACAAGTGCAGCTACCTTTGTACATTCCTTTGGAGTTTGTATGCATTTCACTATTGTCTGTCGACATGTATCAGAAATTAACTAGATAAATACTTCACCTGAATCATGCTGGGTTTTTTTCCTCATAGCCTGTGGTTAATTTGCATGCAGACTTGGGGTTTTTTCTTCTAGAGAGGGCACTGACTGCTGGGTAAAATAATCTGAATGTAGTCATTGTCATAGGATATAACCTCCCTCACCTCTGGAAATTCCATTGAAGTCCTAAGTTTAATCAACTAGTATTCTGAACTCAAAATCATTTCTTATTTGTTTTAGTCCATATCAATAGCTTTGTACCCTCCCACCCCTCCATCCCTCTCCTCTGGCTCTAATGCTTTAGGATCACTATTCCTAGATTTAGTTCAGCTTTCTTTTCCTTGTGGGTGTTGACTCGAAATCTCTACAGGCTGCACTGTAATTAGTAGAGCACAAGGCAGTGGACTGAAGGAAGAAAGTGCTTGCTATCTTGCTTCTTAGAAGAGCTTGCTATTTAAGTGACAGTATCTGAAATGACTGTAAGTGTTTCTTCTGCCTTTGAAAATCTTTTTTAATATAAAGATTTCATTGACAAAGAAATTTTGCTGGTTTTTGATGTCCTCAGTAACTTTTCCTGGTGTTGAAAAATGAGAGCGTTGGTATACCTTTTTGTAAATAAATATTGGAAGAAAAAAAACAGTTGGCCAACTTCCTTTCCATGCTAGTACTTCAGAAAGACAGTATATTTACTGCCTAGGTTAAGACCTTTTCATAAAAATTTCTCTATTAGCTGTAAGCACATATGTATGTATATATGTAAAAATGTGTATCTTGGGATAGTTTTGAGACATGACATCTTTCCTAGTGAAACCAGCTTAAAATAAGGATTGGTTTGCAACACTGAGTTGTGCTGATACATGTTTGTGTAATGAGTTGGATTAAGTCCTCTAGAAAATGAACAATTTAAATCCCCATCACTTCAGTTATCTGGTTTCTAGTTTGCCCCCATTAGCAGGCTGTGTCTGGTTTAAATAATTTTCAGGATTTCAAATACCCTCTTTAATTTCGTCAGCAGTTGTCTTAGTTTCCTGACTTAGGAATATCAGAAGCAGTGGCAAAATTTGGCCTGTTAAACTGTGGTGTCATTCCCTAAGGCAGTCCTTAAGCAAGTCCCGACTTTACCCTCTGTCAGTAAGTATTTTAATGAGAATAGCAAAGAGTATAGTTCAGAGTTCATCTGGCTGATGCTCTTAGTCATATGATTTAGTTTTAGGTGGTGCTATGAGGAGCGGGGTGTTGGACTCAATCCCTGTGGGTCCCTTCCAACTCAAGATATTCTGTGAGCTAATGGAATGTTTAAGATAATCAGGTGTTCAGCTGAAGCTGATTTTAGAGGTTCAGATCTTGGAGTGGTGATGGTTGATTGTTCAGGGGTTTCCAGGGTTCTTACTGACTATGAAATCTCTTAGATGAGTCCATTGAGAATGCATGTTGGAGTTGTGGGACAATGTTTTGAGTTGACTGTTGCTCAGCTTGAGGTATATCAAATAACAGAAGGGGTATGGAAGAGAATTGCTTTTGAAGGGGGAAGTTTCCTTTAGGTTGGCTTGCACAGTGTGCGGCTTGGCTTGAAGTTCTGTGAGTGCAAGGAACTGCTTGGGAGAGATAGGGTCAAGCTTGGAAAGGGGAGCAAAAAGGTATCCTTGCCAGCCTGATGGGTGACTTGGTAAGGAGGGCTTTGAAGTAGGAACAGTGGGGGAGGGAGAGAGTGACCAGGAGTACTTGAGACAGTGATGGACATGGTTGATGAGCAGAGGGGGCCTGGAATGATGTGCAAAAATGGAACACAGCATCAAAAGAAGGAAGCTTAAACAGGGTCTCCTTCAGCATTTGGATGTAAGCAAACCTCTAAAGCATCATTATGAGGACACCCCAAGACCCTTTCTGGTAAACCAGCATGGCATCTGAAGTGCATCAGTAGTGCAAGCAGCATAGCAAGTAGTGCTTTTCGTGGTTCCAGAGCAGCTGCATGTCCAAAACTCCAGAATGGAGTTTACCTGCACCTTTGTCTTGAAAACCTCCCGAGTTATTCTTACATTTTTCAAGTCAGGTATTCCTTGATTTTGACCTTTACCAAATTTTCAGTCTTAATACTGTTACTTTGTACCTAAAAAAGGTTAACTACACTTGTTGAGGGAGCAATCAGAATTTTTTTCTTCACCCACCTCGCTCAAAGAAAACGATGAAAAAGAACAGAGAAATACTTGCAGAAGTTTAATAGTACTAGATTTTAAAAAGTGCTGACTATAAATATCTCTGTGAGTAAAATAACAGTGGTAATTGAACAAATCTCACTGACAGGAGAAAGGTTTCTTCCTCTTAAATATAGGAGGAGAAATTTTCTATTATTTACCCAGCTGCACTAGGTTTATCTAATTTTTATATGGATTTATGTCATCAATGACTATATCAGTGTTCACATGCTGCTGGGGTAAAGAAAACCTGTACATGTGTGGAGTATCTACATAAATGTACTAATTGTGTTACAGCAAAAAAAAACCCCTGAAATGGTCCACAGTTACAGGAGGTAACTTTGGTCTATGAAGCACTGAAAGGAGGTGAAGAAATCATTTGCTTGTTTACAAGGTTATTACCTTGTAGGGCAAGTCAAAATGTCTTTTAAGTGTGCTATACACTGGAGCATAAAGGTAGTTTGGAGGGCAGTGTAGAAGGTGATGAATTTACTGCATTTGATCTTGGTGAACATGTTGAAATATATTTTGTCCTATATTTTAATTACGGAAATGTGATTTTTGCAAATGAATATATGCTGCTCACATTAGAAGAAAAAAAATGCCTGTGGTTCAAATAGATTACTTCAAGCTTTCCCTCTCTTGAAGCACAGCAGTTTATCATGTTCACAGGAAATACCGGTTTGTCCATACCAGTTTGATGTAAACACTAACTGTCCCTTTTAAAGGCTTATTTCTGAAGTCATACAGAGCCTAAAAATCATACGAAGGCAGCAGGTACATGGACAAAGTTAAACATGGGAGAATAGTATTTATGTTGTGGGAAAAGTATAAAAACTCTGCAAGAGTTTGTTTTGGAAGACCAGTTAATGGTTCTCAGTATGTTGCCTTTCATAATTTTTTTTTTAAAAGTAAAGGAATTCAGCTTTGAATTTTTTCTTTTTCATAAAAAAATATAGAAACAAGTACTTGCACTTCATGCAAAATGAGATGCTTAAACCTTGAAAGTATCTGTAGTTTTAAAAGGACCGAAACGTTTCATTTTTTTCCATTAATTTCCATGCTATGAAGTGCACATTGCTGTGAAGATCTCAAACACAAGTTTCAAGTACTGGTATTCTTGCAAACTGTGAATTTTAGTTTAACTGCATTAAACACAAAATGGCTTCGTGCTCTGACTCTTTCACTGATACGGTTGTTTTTCTCTTTGAAGGTCAGTCCTATGAGATACGGATGCTAGATAATCGGAAAGCTGGAGACATACCAGAGATCAATGGAAAACTGGTGAAGGTGAATTTCAGTTCTCTAGCTAGTGTTACTAACAGACCAGAGACTGTATTCTGTGGATTTTTTTTTCTGCTGTCACTAGGTATTTGTTCAGATTGTGTGGACCAGTGATGTTTACAAATAAAAACATGGGAATATAAATACCCAGTGCATATCACAGTTGTGTATACTGAAGACCTGAGTATTTTCTGCAAAGCTTAAGATAGTTGTTTCTAGATTGTATCCAGCATCTTCTGAGCCATTACATTGTCTGTTTCAAGTGATTAGGAGAGGTAGGAGGAAGCTGGAAGATCATTTAGACGGAAGTGGAGGTATTGTGAGCATGTTTCTTAACAGGGATTATGGGGAATACCTGGAGCCAACCTGTGGTTTTTGCAGCAGTGGGATATTGAAGATATATCCATAGGAAAATGGATCTCTCTAATTTTGCTGTTCGTTGAGCAGTTTATTCCACAGCTGAGCTCCTTTTCCCAGTTGCAGATTTGTCTCCTTGTGCTTTAATGTTAGCAGAAGGTACTGTGGATCTGAGTATGAAGTACAAGAATGAGGCAGACTAAAAAATTACCAATTCATGGTGCAGATTATTAAAAGAAGTGATGAAGGGGAAGGGTTTGGATTTTTCTTTTAAACATCTGATGATTGATTTTATTGATTATCTAAAAAGTCTTATTCGGATATTAGGAAAGAAGGGAAAAATGTGAATTAAAGTCACTTTGAAAGTGGTGCTGATAAATGCTCTGGAACAGTGTGCCTGTGGGAGGCTGAATCTTTACATGTCAACTTTAGGCTGTATAATTTGTGAACTTTGGCTTGCTTATATAGTCCTATGGCTTGTTCTTATTTGTCTGTGGGATAGTTGTTCAGAGATCATTTCAGGAATTGTTAAGCGTGAGCATAAAACTGGGATTTGTGAGTTATGTAATTAAACTTTTTACAACCTGGCATGGTGACTTGCTGCAGTAAGCATGTGGAATATTTGCACCCTTAGGTGCAACACCCAAGGTGTAGCCTTGGGGTATCTCTCTGGTGTAATTTTCTAGGTTTATATATGGGTGATGAGTCATTTGGTAGGTAGAATAGGACAAAGCAGTGTAAAAGTTTTTAAAAAAGTAAATTTTACCACAGCAAGGTGTTGTAATGCTACATCAATTAACTTTTTGTTTTGGCCACTTAAATACTGGAATCCCAGTACTTTACCCAAGAAGACATTTCATGCTGGTGGAGGTGGCTGCAAATATTTCCAAGTTCCAAACTTGCCAGTTTGCAGTGCAAAAGGAGTGGTATGTTTGTGTGTGTTATCTTTGAAATAAACCCAAGGAAATGCAATGAAGAGGCACTCCATTTAAAAGTTCTTGGGTTTTGTGGACTCTTCTGGCTGCTGTTAATACAGGGAAGACTGTAGAATAATGAAAAAAAATGATGCAAACATGTCTGTATTCTGTTTGTTGGGTAGCAATTAATGTGTGCAGTATTTCCCCCCCCCATATGTAACAAATTGTTTGGTATGTGCATTCATACATTTAGCAGTACCAAAACTGGTCACAAATTGTTAGATAATTGCTTCTACCTGAGTAAAGTTAATCATGTTGTAGTTGTTTTAGATCAATATTTCAGATAGAGTAGTTGGGAAAGTTTGGAAGGGTTTTTTATCCCTTCTTTCTATTAATTAAAATCATAGATTGTAAATATGCTTATAAATACTAGGAAGGGAGTTTATTTTATTTCCTAGAATGTACCACAAAAAATCACAGCATTTCCACTGAAAAAATGGTCAGTAATATTCACCACTTTTTTTGTGTTGCATTCTAAAATAATTTGATGTTGCCTAGACAGCGTTGATACTGTGCTGTCATTGTTGCTCAGTTCGCTGCATGTAATTCATAGTGACCTTTAGAATATGCAATGAGATGGAATTCTCTCTTGCATTTTTTACCACATTTTCAAGTATCTCCTGCTCAGTTCTATTTCTGTGTTCTGGAATATTTTGGGATCCTGATGGTTGCCAAATTTTTTGCTGTAAATATGTATTTATCAGCACTGTGGCTATTTTGAACTGTTTTAGAGCTTTATCTTCAGGCTGTTTCTATATGTGCAGTAACTTGTGGGTCATCAGATGCTTGTTTTCTTCTTTATTAGAGTATTATAAGAGTTGTGTTCCATGACAGAAGATTGCAATATACAGAGCACCAGCAGCTGGAAGGCTGGAAGTGGAACCGCCCTGGGGACAGACTTCTTGACTTAGGTATAATTGTTTATGTTGGTTGCCACTGTATGAAATTCACTTCTCAAATTTAGGTTGATCATGTTCATATTTATACTGGAGCTGGTGAAAAAGGACAGACCGGTTTTTCTGGATTCTGCTTTCTCATCGTGTGTATTTTGAATATAAATGTTCTTACCACTGTCACATTCCTTTAAAACTATAAAAAGTGCTATAAAAGTAAGATAGCAACTCTGCGACCTTACACGTTTAATAATTCTAATTTCTAATTTTGGTTACTAAATGTTACAGTAATTAGGTGAACACAGACAAAAGTAACTTCTAGTAGATTGTGAAAATGGTACCAATGTGGTTTCTGTACTTTGCGTAACTTGATCGCTTTTGGTGCGTAACTTGGGATGGCAGCAGGGGAGGAGAACCAAAAACCACCCAAAACCTTGAGTACTTTGTATGTTGAATCTACTAAGTTCTTCATATCCTAGGAAACTGTTTCTGGACTTATGCCAAGCCACCAAAGCCCACATTTTTCCACCCTGCCTTGTGTATGCTTATGGTAACCTTTTTTACAATTTGTTTATAGTGTTTTCTTGCAATATGATTAATTTGATATATATGCTGCTTATTTTAATAGATATTCCAATGTCTGTTGGAGTCATTGATATCAAGACAAATCCAAGCCAGCTCAATGCAGTTGAATTTTTATGGGATCCAACAAAATGTACATCTGCTTTTATTCAGGTTTGAAACTTTATTTGACTGGATGTCTGTGTTTGGTGCCTTTCAGTCACAACCAGTAGTATATTTGCACTACAAAGCATCTCGGTTTCTTACTTGTGAGATGGCCATTAAATACCATCTTTGTGAAAAAACACAAAGGTTCATAGTTCTATTAAGGTCCCTAGTAAGGTTTTTCAATTTACTTTGAGTTTATAGAAAAATAGATAAAAAAGCTTTCAAAAAATTTTTTGAAGAAAGCTGTCGTAGTTAAAAAATATTTAGTTATAAGAAGTATAAGAATTAACTAATATCCCTCTCAATAACTCTCATTACTACTTTCTTTTTTCAAGTGAGAAGCTCACGTGCCTGGTTGTGGGCTTAAGCAGAATCTTGGCTTGAGGATACAAAATGAAAAGTATTGTGTTAAAAAATGAGGGGTTTAAATCAGATATTCAGAGATGTTTCTTACTATATCAATAGGCTTCCTTGTATGAGGAATTTTATTATTTGTGTATTTAATATTCAGAGCAACTGAACATTCTTTGTTTGGGAATTATTAATATGGAATGTTCAGATTTGCATTGGGATTTTTACCTTTTGTCTCAGATCTGGTTTTATTAGAAAAAGGTATAAGTATAAAGTTTGAGATAGCAGTGTTTCTTGCTGAGGCTGTCAAAATAGGTTAAATTCCATATTGTCAATAAATTAATTTTGATCTAGTATAATGAAAGATACTTTTTTTAGTAGGAGTTACATAATTAATAAAATGTAGTCTACTTGAAGAAGTATGAGATAAACTATTGAATATTTTTGTTTATGTGCTTCCTTAGAAGTGGTAACAGACTGAAAATGGAACTGATACATATTATGCAAGTATACTTCACTCATTCTAAAGGCTCACTTAAAATTCCATAAGGAAGCAACAAAAAACTGGGAGCACTGTCCAGTGAGATTCATCTTAACTCCTTCTGTTGCACTGATTTTCTCCTTAGATATCTTTTAAGGGAATTTCTAGCTTATAAATCCACATTTCATTCTGATGTCGCACCTGAGGCAATTCCATACTGATTTAAAGGCCTGTGGATTTATACAGTTGGGCATATTTGAAAATACCCTGACACGAGGGTGCATGAGATGAGAAACTCTTCTAGTCAGTGACCTTTTATAGCTTTGCTAATATTTATTGCAAGAAACTGTATGTGATGTTGGTAACATGTAATAAAATTTATGTCTGGAATGCTTCTGAGGGTCGTTTTTGTTTGGTCATTGTTTCCTTTCAGGTACATTGTATCAGCACTGAATTTACCCCTCGTAAACACGGAGGAGAGAAAGGAGTTCCTTTTAGGATTCAGGTTGACACTTTTAAACAGACTGAAAATGGAGAATATACAGATCATCTGCATTCAGCTAGTTGTCAAATCAAAGTTTTTAAGGTAACAGCAGAAAACAGATCCTTGTCTCTCAGAAGTTCTCATAAAGATGCAGAACATCGTGATGTTACTGCTTGACTTCTGAGATCAGATTTCAATTATAAAACCATTTTCCACTTGCATTCTTGTTCATTTATAGCCCAAAGGAGCAGACAGAAAACAGAAAACAGACAGAGAAAAGATGGAAAAGCGAACTGCACATGAAAAAGAGAAGTATCAGCCTTCATATGACACCACAGTTCTTACAGAGGTAACAAAATAAAATTGCATCTGCTGACTCAGGAGAAAATACATAGATACAGCATGTTGCTTAGCTGCAGTCTTGGAAGGGTTGGGGAAGAATTAGTTCTACATAAAGATAAGCTTTTTATTTGACAAATTTGTCCAGTGAGCAGCAAGCTTTTTATTTGACAAATTTGTCCAGTGAGCAGCAACATTAAATTTTAAGCTGTTGTTTGGTAAACTTGCATTTAGATACTCGATAGATTCTTGTATTAAACCACACTAAGATTGAACGCTGTTTGACTGACTGTACTGAACCCTCAAGACTTTTGATAGAGATCCAAAAATCTTGCATATGAAAAGAAAAAAAAAACAAAAAAAAAAAGAGGGGGGACTCTAGAACTTAATTACCAAATTTGAGCTTCAAAGTGTTTTACGGAGATTACTGAGTTTAAGGCCAGAGCCTCAGTAGGTTTTTGCATTTTCTCTTAATTTAAACATCAGTGAGTTCTATGCAGTTTTCTGAATATTTCAGAAGTTTTTAAAAGGCTTTTAGATCTTTCCTCACTGTATAATGAAAAGAAATTGATCCACATCTTTGGTGTTTGTCCAGATGAGGCTTGAGCCTATAATTGAAGATGCAGTTGAACATGAGCAGAAAAAGTCCAGCAAGCGGACTTTGCCAGCAGACTACGGTGATTCTCTGGCAAAGCGAGGCAGTGTAAGGGACTTCTGCTTACCTTTTGATTATGCAAGATACCTTGTGCAGTGTTAGATATAGGAGAAACTTCCATTATATTAAGTAAAAATATTTTGATTGCTGTATCTTAATTTTATTCACTTTTATGTGTACCAATTACTCCATGTTTGTTTTCAGCAAAGGAATCCTTCCTAAATCTAACACTTAAACTGTTGCAGAGGGACTGTGTAACTTAAAAGTCAAGAGCTTTCAGTTTATGTGACTTTAAATGAAATAGCTTTTTGCTTTCCTAAATGTATGTAATTAGTGGAAGTAAGAACAGTGAAATTTAGTGGTTTGTCCCTGTTTGTACTTACATTCAACAGAAGTTTTCATGTACATCAGTATTTTTTAAAGTGCCATGTGTTGTAGATGGTTGTTACTGATTTTTTCCTTTAGCCATCTACGTACTGTGCTCCAGGCAGGTTTAATGCAGCTCAGAAGAGTGTCCGTTCATCTTCCTGAAGTGTTACATTAACCCTGTATGTTTACCCCAAAAGGAAGCTAACATATATCCCGTGCCCTCCCTAACGTATGTCCTCTGTAGTCGTCCTGTCAGGGGTTAGCATTTTAGATCTCTTAAATGCTATTCCTTAAGGTGAATATCATTAAGACCTTACACGTTTGAGAGAAACAATCCCACCTCTTTCATTTAGCAAGTTCGAATGTCATTTAATAACATGGCTGTGAAAGACAGTTATTTGACTGTTCTTTGAACAGGCACACTGTGCTGATTGCAATTTCCTGCCAGTGCTTAGGCAATGACTGTCTGACTCCTGTCCCTCAGACATAACTTGGTTTGTATTTCTGATCTGTGAAAGTGATGTATAAGGTTTTATATTTCGGTTATAAAATACTTCAGAATATACCTCTTCTTTATAAACCATGTAACGGGTGGCAGGGAACAAGCAGTATTAGTCAGATGGGTTCTTTGAAGGATTCATGAGTGGTTTTTTTGTGTTGTGCACCCTGAAACTATTGTAGGTACTAAGCTGCCTGAATTTACGTTCTACTGTTCTTGGCTGTTGGGTTGGGTTGGTTTTGTTTTGGTTTTGATTTTTCTTTTAAGGCACACTTTAAGGATTTTTTTGGCACTGTGTTCTTTTATTAGTTTCAGCTGGCCCTGGGGTAGAAACAGGACAAAACAGGATTTTATCACTTTCACTTATAAAGCATCTTTTGAAGCTGGTCTTTGAGGGATTTCTGTGTTATTCTTTACCCTATGCTCTCTTCTCCTGTTGTTATTTCATTGAATGATTGTTGCTTATAGGAAGAATAATAGAGAAAAGTATTTTTAAAAAAATTAAACAAATTCATTGTCCAGAGTAGAACATGCTGTAGCTAAATGATACCTGGAAATCGCCTAACCTTTTCTTGACAATCCCTTGAAATATTAAGCTTCTATGAATGGAAGCATTGCTTTAATTGTACAGAAAAAAAGCTGAGGTAGGACAGTACTGGACTTCTAATGCCTTTCCCAAAGCACATAAAGGACAATGACCCACAGGCTATTTTGAATAACAGGTATACACAGCTTTCCAATTCTCTTAATTGTGCAGCTGACTTTTCCTGGTTTGCATTTGCCCTTAATAAAATGTTGTCTTGAGATAATTCGGTGAGTTTGTTCAGACCATTTGGAATTTTATCCATGTAGGATGAAATCCTTTCAACCTTGCTTACTTGGTTTTGTTTGCAGATTTGACACATGATATTTCCATCATTACAATGATTTTTATCATTAACAAAATTATTAAAAATCAACAAACCCATAAAAAATACCAAGAAACACTATTTCTGCTGTATTCATAGTGGTACCTTGGTAATTGCTACACACTCACTAAACATTGTGTTTAGCTATATAAGTTGAATGTAAACTTGTTTTCTTGATCGATAAAAGGAATATCTGATTTATATCTTGAAGGCCAACTCATCGGGCATTCTTCTCTTGTCACCAGACAGTCTTATTCTTGGGGGCCCTCTAAATATGGACAGGGATGATACATGTTTCTACTTAGAGCAATTCTGTCCTTGCAAATCTCTCTTCTCAAACTTGGCCATCAGAAGCTTTGGCTGTTACCAGACTTCCCTCATACATGTAGATCAGATGTTCTGTATATGCAGTACAGTTGTGAAAGAGGGGCTTAGACACAAAAAGTGAAGGCCTGTTTCCAAACATCTAAGTATGAAAATTGACACTGTTTTACATATTATGTATGATGTATCTTTTTACTTCAGATGTCCCGGGAACTGTAGCTCCATTACAGAAAAACAGTATTGTTTGGATTGTGTTTTTCTTGATGCAGTCAGGAGTGCTGGCTGTTACTTAGCCAGTGGTGCTTCCTAGATGCCCAGAAATAGTTCTCTGTTACCTTTTCTTGAATTCTGCAAATTAATATGGATACAATCTATAGTTCTCTTCCTTTTTAAAGCTGTGTATTCTTATCTTATGCTTACACCTAACCTGTTATATAGGCTGTCTTTTTCATTCCTTTTTGCATCTCATTTTGTGTATTGTTTTTTTTTTATTCTGTCCCTCCAAGGTTCTGTTGTTTTATTTGTTGGATATTTCTATTTTTTTCTTTCTTTTTTTCTTCCTCACCCCTAAATGATTACTTCCAGATGAGTCATAATCAGATTTGGACAGATCAATTTCTCACTGTGTTTCCTTCAGAAAACATTGAATCTAATATGTTTTCTTTCCAATTTAATTTGGATGGGATTATAACACAATGCAAGGAGTTGAGTGAAGCTTCATTTCTGAACAGCCATTCAGCTCTTTCCTAAGAACCAGAGGGTTTTTTCTAATTACCATAACCCATCTTTTCTTTATCACTCATTTTCATGGCAGTGCCATCTAGGTATGCTTTTCCATGATTTCTCTTAATTCACCTGATGTATCAAAATTCAGTGCATTTATTGCAGTTTCTGCAGTGTTTATTTCAGTATTTTCCAAACAGACACATAGTTAAACTGCTTGTTAAGATTCTTTTTTCATGCTATGGAGCATTGACTTTCTCTGTAGATATATGTGCTGGTTTAAAAGTAAACCAGTGGGACAAATGAACCCAACTCGAGAGATTACAAGTCAGTTACAATTTACTAAAAAGGTTACAATAAATGCAATAATACAGAGAAAAACTGGTTTTAACCCCCAAAGACAGATGTATAACCCCGAACCCTGGGACAAGAACAGAACAGTGTGCATTAGCCCCTGTGCTGAGCACCACGTGGTCCCCCTGGGTGCAAAGTAAAAGGAAAGGAAACCTGTTGGTCCAGATGATGGTCGCAGTTCTGTTGAGTAATGATCACAGTCTTATCGAGAGTTGAAGTTCTGGTCCTCCTCTGGATCCAACGAGTGGTACCAGAAGTCCCAAAACCCCAAGATTATATATGCTCAGGTTCAGGTGGGAATGTCCAGTGCCTCCCCCAGGGTGGGGATTTTCACTCTGTGACTCTGTGAGTCAAAGGATATTTTTGGAGTCTTTGATAGTGTAGGTCATTGCAGCTGCCTATTATGCCAGTCCAGTATGGCCCATTAGCAAAGATGACCCCTCAGGCTGGGTATGAAGGTGCTAATGCCTCCCTGAGGTGTGAAAACAAAGAAACCCTCACAGAGTTTCTTTAACACCCAACTTGTAGCCTGAGGTGTCAGGGTGCCTTGGGCAGCTGCTGCAAATGATCCATTATTAACAGTCCATCAGAAATGACACAGAGGGTGTAGAATACACAGTTTTGGTTATACCCACATACTGATAAACTGGTCCCAGCCCCATAACTAGGACAATATAAAAGGCTACAAACTCAACACTTTTCTGGACTTCAGAGGGGGTGTTTATTTACAGATGACCTTCATTCAGGAACCATTTTATGAAGGAGGCACTTTGTGTTTCCTCTCTCCTAATATATAGAAGATAGTGGTTATGTGAGGAAGAAGAGAAAAAACCCCACCAGATTCTTTCTTTCTCCTGCTTTGAATTTGGAAAAATAGGCAAATTTGGATTGTGGTAGTTAGGTCTTTGCACTTTTTTCTGTCTGCAGTATCTTAGTTGATTTTTATATTCATGTCTAGTATATGTCATGAGCTAGAATATATAAACTACAATTTGACTAAACTTGGTCAAATGGTAATTTTTTGCAGATAGAGGTGCTTATAGAGCACATGGAAGTTAGAAGACTTCCTGGTATAGGCCTTGAAATCAATTAGTATATTAAGTTTTGGACATGAAATATTGGAGCAGAAGTTAAATATTTTCTGTAAGTGACTTAAATATAAAATCTTCTAGAGGCTACATGAAGCAGGAAGTGGAGCTGGAACAAAACTAATTTAGTAACATGAGCATAGTATTTATTCAATTTCAACATCTATACTTTGTGTAGCAGTATCAGCATACAGGATACATAATGTGGGTGACTTCACATTTTGGGAATAACTTCTGCACTCATAACAATTAAGTCTGTATGCACAGAAGTTTTTTGCTTTTGCTGGCAACTGTGTTGGTTTGGGGCAAACCCCCTGTATTTTATAGGTTTGTTGAAAAAGCTGTATACCATGTATGAGAAAATTGATGCTCTTTACTTTCTAAAGATGATTCTGTGTGCTCAAGTATAGTAAGTCTAACTTGGAGAACAAATTAGACTTACTGTATTTTGTTTTCATGCTTATTTGGCATTTGAATATAGTATAGAGTTCTTTGTCAAGGTTCAGTTTGAAAAAAAGGCATAAGTTTGGGCATATTCCAGTAGATTGGAAGTAGGAAGGGGAAGGACATTGAACAGTGGCTTAGAATTGCTTGAGATTTTGTAGTTCCTCAGAAGCTTGGAACGTTCTGAGTTTAGGTGCTATATATACTGAATCTGGAAAGTCATTCTGTCGTTCTTAGAAAGATTTGTTATCTTCTCTTTAAATCAGTAAAACCGTTGCTCAACACTTCATAACTTCATTCGTGGCCTATACAGAAGGCTGTTAAAGATTTGAAACAAAAATAGTTTTCTCCTTCTCATGAATTAATCCACATTTGGAAATCAGACAGTTTACGGAGTACAGTTGTATCAGTAGTATTGTATCAGTGTACTAGTAAAGGAGGGCAGTTAGTCTTGAGACCTCAAACACCTGATCTTTGGAAATTCAGCAGTGTATATTTTTTTGTGTATTGTAGGTAAAGGTATAATGCCAATCTTATTTCTGTTTTGTGATGACTTTTTACAGAGTTGAATGCTTCCTTGTGACAGAATGACATTTTTCTCCTGGTTTTGCGTTCACTGGCCAGGGACTTCAGTATTAGTATCATTATCTTACTTAATGTCCTTTGCTTAACTCAGTTTTGCCTTAGAAATAAGAGAAATATCCTGATTGATCAGAGGACAAGTCCGTGAAGTCCAGTGTTCTGTGCCCCACAGTGGGAATGGCAGGTGCTGTTTCAGGGAAGCCCTGCCACTTTCTCTGATCCATTCTCCTTATAACCACCCACCCCCCCTAGGATCCAGAATCATCATGCAGGATGTTAGAAAGCACGTCTGCTCAGTCTTTTTAGTGTTACTGGATTTGATGCCCAGGCATTTGCCTAATTGTCTTTCTGAACCTGTGGGTTTCTGAAGCGTAGGGCAGTTGTGCATGGAAGTGATTCCGAAAGCATAATTAGCTCAGCTTGGGTTAATTGCTGGAAGACTTTTTTGTTCCTTGAACCTTTCGGAATTAAGTATCTCAGTGTTCAAATACTCGTTTTTCCCTCCACAACCTGTAAGACAGAAGAAAGGAGAACGGAGCCAATAGACATGTTGCAGTAGTATATCACTTACTACTACTTTTTTTTTCTTTTTAACCAACTGATTCAGTCTCAGTGGATAGATAGTGATGTTTTTGCTGGAAGAGGAGACTAGGTAGGAAAATGTATTTATGGGAGAAGAGAGGCTACTTGCTTTGGGTTGGCATTCTGTTTCTCTAAATACTTAAAATTTGCTTCTTCCTGGATTTAAACCCAGAGTTCTGTTGTGAAGAACTTCAGCTGGTTTGAAGGACAGAAACATTACCTGCAGTACCTGCCTTGGGAAATGTCTCAAAAGACATTCTCTGGCACCAGTGCATTCTTTGCTGACCCTGAATTTAAATATATGGTGAATAGAATCTTGTAAGGGAATGGTGGCTAAGGATATAGAGCTTTCATCTGTGTGTCCACATAAACATCTCAGGTTAAAATATAGGGAGAGAATGTCAGAAAATTAAAGAATATTAATAGCTCTTTCAAAATATTTCAGAAGAACAAAGTTAACATTATTATGTTGAGCTTTTATTTTCAACTTATGGCTTTGGACCACATAATTAGGGAATGAAGGCCTCTTGTAACTACGCATGTGTTGTAATACATCATCTTTGATATTAACATAAAAAATGAGCTTGAGAAGAGAAACAACAGATGGGAATATACAGAATAGGAGGAAGAACATGTCATCCTACAGGTCATAGAGGAGCGTGCTTTGTGTGGGGGGCACTGTTTGTAGGCTGAAGGGTGGCTTTGCATAATCAAAGGCTGTGTATACAGTAGGTAGCAAAAATGCTGGTTTGAATCAAATCTCAGACAGATAAAGAATATTCCTAATTTTTAAGCTATTTGCATGCAAGACTTAGTTTTTTTAAATTCTGTGCACTGTGCTGGGGAACTTGCCATCTTAACTCTGACAGCTGAAGACTGGAGTGCAGCACAGAAATGTTGTTGCCTCTCTTAGAGAAGATGGCACCCGATTGGTGTTGCACTTGTTTACTGTTTACCCTGGATGGCAGAAAGATCTTTCAACACAAAGTTGTTGAAATAAGTTTGCATTGATGTTAGTTCATACTTATTCTCCTCCCTCCTCCTCTTCCCCGCTACAAGGCTATGATGTAACTCTGGAAATTCCTTACAAGGTATTTAGCTGGTGCATGATAAGCATATCAGAAATCTTTGTTCTTTTAACAGGCATGGTCTTAGCTTACCTCATCTTGGGCTACTTGCTTGTTTTAATCATGTCTTCGAAGATACCAAAATGTGGGTTTTGTTTTTCTTTAAAATACTGGATTTTCAATACTATCAGAAGCACTAAAGGTAGCCTTGTTTTGAAGGGTTTAATCATCATGATTTAAAAGAATACCCAAAAAAAGACTGACAGAATTTGACAGCTGGCTTATCTTATCCTTGTGATGACTTAAATTTGTGTAAAAACTTCTAGTTTACCAAGCAGTTCAGAGAAATCAGTCCATGTAAGTAAACATATTTTAGTCCTGCTGTAAATGAATAAAAATTTGAAATTAACAAAAATTTATACTGAAAATTCCACGTGTATTTAATTGCTCTCAAGGCAGGTACATTTATCCACAAGATAAAGTCTAGCTTCATAGCTTTACTTACTATTACTGAGCACCTATTGTCGTGTCCTGATACCTGCAGTTTAAACAGCCCTTTCATCCCGCAGGATGAAAGAAGTTTTTTTCCAGCAGATGGCTGGGGGTTGGTTGGCTTTGTTTTAGACTGAATAATCTGTACAGGTCAATTGTCAGTTTCACAAATAATACCCTAATTTTTTTAAACAGAAGACAGTATAACTAGGAGTCTTCATGAAAGAACAAGATAGAACTGATTTTTACCTGGAATATCTGCATGTAATGTGTGGGATAGAGGGAATCTCGATTTGGAATTGCAAATCAGAATACTCTGTGGATAAAATCCTGGCTTTAAATGAAACAAGTGTGCATCAGAGTAAAGAATGTATTGTCAAGAGAAACTCAAGTTTTAATTCTTTATCTTCAGTGCTCACCGTGGCCTGATACTCCTACAACATTTGTAAACAACAGTCCTACTCCTGCTCCAACTTTTACCTCTGCTCAGCATAATACCTACAGTGTCCCAGACAGGTAGGTTTCTATTTTGTACCCCAGTTAAAGATAGCATTTTAAAATCAGGCTTATTCAAAAGTGTTTTCTGAGTAAATGCAACTATGTTCTGGTTCCATGGGGAGTTGAGAGATCATTTTGACCTATATATTCATTCTTTAGTATGATACTTGTATCATTTGGTTCAATTATAAGGTTATTACTTCTGCATCACCATTTTTGTTTCTTCCTATATGTTTTTAAAAACAACTTCTTGTCCTTTGTCATATAGCAAATACTTTACCTTTTAACTAATTTAGTTCTTGCCTATGGAAACCATTTTTAGCTTTTTTCATTAAGAACAGTTCATTCCCCTCATACACAGTTAATATAATCTGTACGAAAAAAACCCCAGCAATTCACAAGCATTTCAACAAAGATTGAATTGGTAACATTTTATATTGAGTCATTAGTTAAACTACTATAACCAAATTTGCATTTGATCCAAAAATTATTTACAGTGGTATTGTCTGGTCTGTTTACTGGGTTTCGTCTGCCTTGTATTTTACTAATTCTTCCTCAGTCACCCTTCTAAGGCAGTGAAGTGGCCATGTAACCTCCCTTGAGTGTTGGTAAATCTGCTTCTCCAGTACATAAAGGATATATAAAATAGGAACCAGATCACTTCCATATTGAAGTGGGATGATCTTTCTCTTGAGTTTAACAAGTTTCAATCTACATGGTGTTTAATATGTCTTTCACCTGTGATATTTATTGTTTTGGGAATCTCAAGTTATTTTTCAACAACGCTTAAATATTTTGGTTCATAAAATTCTAGTAATACTTTTCTTTTTGTTTTTTAATCTGTAGCAATTCTTCCTCCCCAAATCATCAAGGAGATGGAACCTCTCAAGGATCAGGAGATGTGAGTGTTTGCTTTCTGATACTGATCATGGCTATATTTGTATAGTTGTATCAGAACACTTGATTTATACTCAATATTAATAGGTACTGAGGAAGCGTTTAACTGAGGGAAATTTTTTAGTGGCTTGGGGTCTGTTGGTTTTGGTTTTTTTAGTATCCAAGTTATCATATTCAATCTTGTTTCTTACAGCAGCTTCATCCTTCGGCCACAATCCAGGAAACTCAGCAATGGTTGCTCAAGAATAGGTTCTCAACCTATACAAGGCTTTTTTCAAATTTCTCAGGTATCTGTAGTTTACTTTTTTCTTTCTTGGTGTCAATGAGCAAGTTCTGTGTTGGAAAATAATTCTCTAAGAACAATATGGTATACATATTTATTTACTGATTTGCTTATTAAATAGCAATGCAGTTTCCACTTGTGTTTCTGGACACAAGACATGGCAATAGATGCACTGTGTGGGGCTGTGTTTTGTTGTTTGCTTCTTCGGTCTTGCATGTAATTGTGCAAAGGGTGGGATGACACTACACACCATAAATAAAATTCATTTTCTGTTTTCTTTGGAGACACATGATGAATGATGCCAGCTCTCTGCCTCTTGCCTTAGCTCATGCTTCAGTCAGGATTCCCTTTGTACCAGACTTTTTCCCTGGTCAAGGGAAGGTTTATTCTTCTGCTACTGGTTAGTTTTTGATCTGTGCTTCTTGTATTATGGTTGCTAAGCTTTTTCAATAAACTTCAGTACCAAATTCTGACCAAGGCTCTTGGAAAACTTTTCTTCTTCATCATTATTATCATAATAAAAGTCAAATACTAGCTGGCTGGTTTTTCTTTGAAGCAAGAGTATGTGGCTTTTATTATACTACTTCAGGTGTGGGCATTTTTTGATTACAGTATTTAAGGGCCATGATAAATTATTTGTGCTGGCTTTTACCTGTGCATTCCTAGATAGTTTGTGGAGTATTTTCACAAATAAAGATATTTTTTTTTCCTGTTTTCCCACTCATCTATTACAGTGACTGATTTTTCAGATGGTTGATTTCTTCATTGACACCTATGTTGCTTCTCAGAAGAAACTTCCATTTTGTTTTTAGATCTCCTTAGTATCTCTGAGGCTTCCTTTTCTAAAGTAAATCTTCAGGGAAGCAGTTGTTTTCACAGATCATTAATTTGCAGCATCTTTAAAAAAAAAAAAAAAAAAAAAAGCTGATTTTGGATGGAAGTATCCCACAGCCTGGACTTGCCCCAAGTTGCTGATGTACTGATTTGTCCACACTGCTTTAGTTATGCTTTTAGCAGCATTACGTGAGTGCATTGTTATAACTTAAGTGCACAGAGGACATGAGGAATGAGTTGAGTGCCTGGGATAATTCACTGAGTGAAAAGCCATCGAATATCTTTGCTCTGTATTTTGCATGTGTTCAAAACACACTAAGCTGGGTGCCAGCAAAAACCATTGTTTGTCTACAGAACAGTCGTCTGTCTCTACAGAAATTGTGTGCCTTGCAGACTCGTACTGTTTCAAAGAAGTGAACACTATAAAGTGTAACTATCCAACCTCTGGAAAACAGGTCAATGTTATTTAGCACTCACTAGTGCCTATTCTGAATTTTACTTAGGCCTGTTTGCTAGATGCCATTTTTATCATGGTGAAGTTTGTTGTCATTGGTTGAAATGAACGTAAATTTATTTTAAAAAATGTTTTTATGCAAAATAATCATTAAATCCTCATGTATTTCTCCAGGTGCTGATTTATTAAAGCTGACAAGAGAAGATCTGGTACAAATCTGTGGTCCAGCTGATGGAATTCGGCTGTATAATGCACTGAAATCCAGGTAATAGGCTGATGGTGAGGTTGTTGGGTGGTGTTCTGTCATTTCCTACAGACGGGGAATTCCAGAATTGGGAGAGTTGGGAAGTTAGTTCAGGATGGACCTTGATGCCTGTGTGAGCTGCCTCAGGAACTGGCAGCAAGACGTTTAAAAATTACCTCCTATGTACGCCTCCAGGGCAGAGCCAGGAGAGATGCAGGTGGGCCCTGCCGATTTCCTGATACAGATGGATTTGTTGCCAAGACACAAAACTTGTCGTTCAGGGGAGCTTAGAACAACCTGAGGCTTTTTGAGGTTACAGGCATTGAGTGCTAACACAGACAGCATCCCAGGTGGTGTGTCTGATTCTGTCTGAAATGGGTACTTCTTACTGTTGACCTTTTTAGCAGAATGCTTGTTGTTGCTCAGTAGTTGTGTTCCAGAATTACAACAAGCAGCATCCTGATGAACTCTTAATTGACTGAAATGTTGTTTAAATGCAGAAGCATCTGAGAGACCACTTATCTTTATATTAATTTAATTTTTTGGGGTCAGTGAAAGAAAACATGTCGAGTGTACTGTTAGCATAACAAATCTATCAGTTTCTGTATTTCCAGGGCACGTAGGCTTTTCTCTGACCTGATTTCCTTGAACTGCAGGTCTATTAGGCCCCGTTTAACAATCTACGTGTGTCAGGAGCCATTACGGAGCATACAACTGGAAAGACAAGATACAGGCAATGGTGAGAGCAGCAACGGTGCAATATACGGTACGGTGCACAGCGGTCTCTCTGCACACCATTCCCTGTCTTAGAGGTCTAAAACAAGATAGATGGGAAGGAAAAAAGCACTGAAGAGGCTGAGTTTCTGTTTCTGGTGTACAGAGAAACCATAGGAAGTTGTATTCACAGCAGTAGTGCTGCTTTAACACTGCACGGGATGAACAGAACCTAAAACCTCTCAAGGTTAAATGATTGGGGTTTTTTCAGTCCATTGATAGAACTAACCAGTTACATGGTAATTACTTAAGGAGCTCTCTAGCTGTGCCTGTTGTTACAGACAAGGTATCTACCATATAAATGTAAAAGCTAAGTGCAAATAAAACACTTAAATTCTTTCCCATTTTCTGTTAAGAGTTTGCTGTCATTTTCTGTGCAGCTGCAGAAAAACTGTAGAGCCTGGGCAAGGAAAATCAGCCAAGCAAGTGTATGGGCTCCTGATTTTAGTATTATTTTTCTGAAACATAGCTGTTGTTTCAACACAGATGGGAACTTAAAATTCATGTCAATCTTAAAAGAATGGAGCTCTTTGAAATAATTTTCTTGCTCTTGGCTTTGAGAGAAGAGACCTCTCTTCCCCAGCTGAAATCTGTACAGGCTGTTGCTGCAACAGTGCTTGTGTATTTTCCATGCAAGAATTGAGGTGGAGGAGGATCTGTAAATAGAATACTGCTGCTGTCAAAAACGTATTTTCCCCCAGTTATCTTCAGTCCTTGCTTTGGGGCAGAAGCATGTGCAAACATGGAGCTGCCCAGGGTTTCAAACACTATTTAATAAAGCTACAGAACTGTAAATAAAGCACCAAACTGAACAGTTGCTTTGTCTTACTGTTTGTTTGCTGTGCTGTATTTTCCCCTGCCAGCCTTCAGCTCTGAGGTGATCTGTAGGAAGTTTATTCAGACAGTTGCAAAAGCCTTTCCTTACCAAAACCCAAAAATCTATATCCCCGTTCAAAGCAACAGCATAGACATGTAAGTCAAATGTATTGTATTACCCGATTCTTTTGAGACTGCCCAAAACTACTTCCAAAGCCATCTTTAAGTGACTCTCTAAAAATCCATTTAAGTCTGTTTGACAAGCCTTTTTGTGCAGGATACAGGAAAAAATGGGGAAGTTGCGTTCAGTCTCAGAGCAAACAGAAACCTCTCCCTTGTAAGAGTTGTGCTTATGACTTTTCCTTGAAAGAAAAGTCAGAGCAGTTCATACTTCTTAGTGACAACAGGAGGAGGGTAAACTACACATTTTTAGCTTTTAAAACTTTTTAAAGCCTGGTGTGTAAAGAGATTCAGATTTCTTTTCATATAGTTACTCGTTATCCGTTAGTACCATGCTTATGTAAATGCTTTTTTTTCTTGTAGTTTATCACGCAATCTACTTAGAGGAGATGGCAGCCTCAGAAGTCACACGCAAGCTTGCTTTGGCATTTAATATTCCTTTGCATCAGATCAACCAGGTTTACAGACAGGGTCCCACAGGCATCCACATTCTTGTTAGTGATCAGGTAATGGAAATTTTATTTTCTTGGCATTTATTTATGAATTACAGTGGAAGATTTTCTTGTGCTTGCTTATTTACTACTGTTTTTTTCTGTTTGATAATGCAGCCTAGTATTTTCTGATATTTTAGAATATATTTTCCTTTGCATTGAAACAAGCAGAAGGATTCTTTCAATGACACTCTTCGTCTACCTGATTAAATTGAGACTATGATGAGAGAGGCAACTAGTCTGTATAGGTCTATATAGTTCATCTATATAAATGCTGCAGTAATTACTTAGTATGTATTTATTTTGATCATGCCCAAAGGCAGGGAGCATTTCAATACTGCTGAATTCGGCTTATTCAGGTGTCTGCTACACAGACTTGGAGTTCCCAAACCACAGCCAGCAGTAATGGGCTCCCAACTGGTTACATGAGTAATAAGCAGTGGATTTTAATTTGGTATATATATTGTGTCCCTTCAAGAAAACAAAAAATATGGAATTGCTTATAAAAGGCTGTGTTTAGTACCTGATTTGGTGTTTTTTTGGCATCGGTCTTATTCAGGAGGGTTTTGAAACTTTTTTTCTTTTTGCAGATGGTTCAGAACTTTCAAGATGAGAGTTGTTTCTTATTCACCACAATAAAAGGTACGTTGTCTTTTCTGACAGTCTAGAACTTAATTGTTTATTCCACCAAGGAGCCTTCTTTAGAGAAAAAAAAGAAAAAAACCTGTACACATAGTGGCAGAAAATAACCAAGTTCTTCCTGTCTTGGTCAGAACTTTCAGCCTTTGTGTAGCACCTCAGTCATTTCTCCAAGGTTTCCCGTTCAGCGCCAGTGCAGCATTTGGTAACAAATCTCATACAAAACTCAGTCAGCCATCACAGTGCTTGCTGCTGATAATTGTTGAGAATGGTGATGTTTCAAAATAATTTAAAATCCTGGCAGTAGTACTTCTGAAGTTCAGAAACTGAATGTTAACTGAGTCATGAGAGTCAGCAGAACAGAGTACAATGTTCTGTTCTTTCATTACTAGTCAATAATCATCTTCCGTGGGTTGGTGCAGAATCCCACAGTTCCTTAGGAGTCCAGTTTATTTCTGGTGAAAGGTGCCAGCAAATGGCTGTAATCAGTGGACAAGTTTGACTCTCTGCAGACTTTACCTACAGAAACTGTCCCAACTTTGAAGATCCAATTACAAATCATTAAGCATAACATCTTTGCTTAGCACAAGCAGAAAATTTTTAAAAGCTATGTTTTTGCTGTGGATGGGCTGTACTTTTAAAACCAAGTCCATACTTTGGTGTTTTGGTGCCTTGGCTCATATTTTTATGATTCTGTTTAAGAAAGATTGACACTTTTATTCTTTTTTCAGCTGAAAATGGTGAAGGCTTCCACATAATTCTGAAGTGACGTCACACAATTGCTACACTGATACTCCAACGCAGAATGAAGTCCTGCCTAAAGATTATGAAGATCATCCAAAACCTTAGGATCTAACTTCACTGTATAAGATGTTTCATATTGAAAACACAAAATGACCTTTCTAATGAGCTGTTTGATAGGTGAACTTTCTTATCACTGCCATAGCTAAGTGTCCTCATGAGAGGTATAATGCCATGACAGCTTACGTACAGGCATGGAAGACAATGTAAGCAAAGGTGCTTGCCCTTTACTGAAATAAGGCAAATTATGGCCAGTAGATACAGTTCATAGAAGCAGAGCAGTGTTGCTTTTCTATTATCTGTATCCAGTTGGAGATGAATGTAAACTTATTTGGGGGCATTTACCTTTCTGTGCCAGTTTGTCTATTACGTGCTTGTACCTTACGCTGGTTTTATTTTTTGATGTTAGCAGAGCACATGCTAATCTGTGTGGAGATGAGTAGTTAAGGTGATAGTGATCAGGTTGTCAGGTCTTTGAGAGTAAAGCTGTCAAAACAGCTTCCCGTGTAAATTGTGTATAAGAGTGTATGTAAGAAGTGTAAATGCCAGAAAAGGGCTTTTAAGAAGCCCTAGACAGATGCAATATATGCATGCAGCAAACTGCATTATCAATAGTACCTTATTGGAGGGTACCAAGTAATTGTGTTTTGCTTTAATGAATTTAATGGAAAAGAATTGCCTATGCATCCTTTATGTTTAGTTTCGTAGGTTCTCTGCGGAGCACTGCTGCAGTTTAACTCTTAGCTTGTAAAATTGTGAGTTTTAAAAATACAGCAGTGAGAGGTGGGGTTTTCTGACTTAGTGGAATTATGCTGATGAGGGAAGATGACCCACTGGCACCACAGGGCTGTCATAGCTTTCAGCAACATCGAATAAATTGCTTAAGAAACACTAAATACACACCCTGTAAGTCTCCTTCCCAGCAGTGAACGCCCTGCTGGAGTTGCTATTACGGACAAACATCTTCTTACCTTTTCTGTTGACCTTTCTCTGCCCTCCAGTCCATACTGTACACCTGCTACAGTGCCTCTTCCATATGACCAAATACTCACTTTTTTCTCTGAAACAGGCAATGTGCTTTTTCGGTATTTTGGATATTTCTTGTACTGTCATGGCACAGCATTTCCTAGGGTAACATTAAGTTTCAACTGGTTAGGTACTTAAAGGGGAATATTTCCAAATGTATTGGGTGACAGTTTCAGAGCTGTCATTTTGTGCCTTTGGAAAGTTCCACCTTGATCTCTGGCTAAAAGCTTGGGAATAGTTTTGCTTTTTATGCTGCAGTGTTCCATGTAAGCAACTACTACAGCATGTAAAAAAGCAACTTTGATTTTTTTTTTTCACTTCCCCTTTCATAACTGGCATAAGTGCTTAGCAGAAAAGCTTCTGAAAGCTGTAGCATTTTGAAAACTTAAATTCATCAAACCTAGAGGGTTTTTTCCTGTTTTTGTTTTTTTTTTTTTTTTTTTTTTTCTGCACTGAAAGTAAAATTTTATGTACTTACTTAAACATTTCTGACTATGAGTTGTTCATCTTTGGGTATTGTTTGGTCCTAGTATTTTCTTGAACTGACACTTGTGTCTTTTTAGTTCACACCACATTCAAATCCAAATGTTTTATAAAAGTGGAAATATCCTTGATTGGAAAGTATCCAAATATCTAATTTTAAAAAATCTTGAAAGTTGTACAGTAGTTTGTCCAGAGCTCACTTGAAATTGGAATTAAATTATGGCACCAGCAAATTGCTTTTGTTTTTTAATAAGATGTACACATTTCAATTTAAGTATAATAAATGTTTTTCAATAATTTTGTAAATGTGCTTTTCTTTTTACTTTTTTCCCCCCCTCACATGCATTACAGACATGTCCACTGTTAGGACTCAGATTACTTGCAAGATCTGCTTTGGCACTAATGGTATGTAAAGGCAAGGAAGGGAAGTAAACAAGCTCTGTAGTGTGTCCCACACCCAGCACAGTCACACAGATCTTCTGCTTCCAGTAGCAATCTTGGGTAGATTTGAAATAATTGCAACAAATTCAAGTTTGACATCAGCTGATTGTTTATTTAAGTGTCCTATATCTGAGTAGGTTCCATTTGTTTTTGTACATCTTTAATGCAATGGACTTTTACAAGGTTCATTATGTTCTTAGAAAAAAATGAGCCAACAAAAGGCAACACATCTTGACATATTGGTACCAATGACTTTCCTGGTACAGTTGAAAATAAAATCTCCTTAAAACTCTCTTATTACAATAGCAGTGTCTTCATGGAACTCTAGGTGTACGATTGTAACAGCACTCCACTACTGTGCAAAAGAAGCCCAGATTGGCTTACTTTGGAGTAGTAAAGAAATCCATGTACTGTACTCTAAGCTATAATTTAACCCCGAAGTTGAGGTCTTAATTTACTGTCCCCATCCTCTGTGAATCATGAATGCAACCTGGCTATTGCTATCCATAGAAGTCTCATGTTCACACTCCTTTTTAGAAGTAGCTTAAAATTTGGTGGGGAGGGGGGAAATTGCATTACTATCCAGTAGTAGCTTTTCCAACTGCTTTTGAATTTTCAGTAAACACAGGCCATGAACTCTTAAAACATACACACACACAATCAAACTTACACAAAAAAAGCTTTCTGAACTGTCAAGTAGTTTCTCTCAGATAATTAAGTTGCTTAATATAAAAAAGTTTATCTAATCCTCTAGCATTGAAAAACTAAGGATGAAAGCATGGCCTTAAGAGTTAATACATAGATTTCATCATTATTATTACCATTCAGAAGTTGACAGCTTCTTACCCCAAACATGAAGAGTTGGGCTTTTACATTTGAAAACCACAGGTTTGGTTTGTTTCAACTCCTGCCTACAGAGTTTGTCCTATGCTTGTCCCTAAAATGGATGGGACAAACAGCTTGAATTCCTTGCTCCATTGTATTTCCTGTAGCTGAACCTGGTTTCCATTCTTCATCTGTAGAACAGCACGTATAATACATCCCTTTCCTTACCAACCACAGAGGTAACTGAGGACACACAGGAATGGCGTTACAGTCAGCACCATGTATGGTTGTGGCAGCCAGTTACAGTAGAGTGCACAAGCTCTACCACAGTGGATTTCTTACTCCTGTTAAAGGCCGATGGCTTTGGGCATAAACGTGCGTTTGGTGACGGGCAAGCTTTGTACGAGCATAGTTCAACTGAACCAAGTCCAAAAACTTGGGAAGTATTTCTATTTATGTAGTTATCTTGAGGTACTATCTTACCTTTTGACATTACCTATTATGTCCTGTTATGTAATTAAATATGAAGCTGAATCATGAAAAAGAATAAGCTGCTGTTTCACTGTAAGAGCTTACGATTGCTTTGCATTTTTTTGGTCAACATCTGCTAAAGCTGATTTGTCCTTACACCTGATATTTAATCTGTCGTGTATGTTACAGAACAGCAGGTTCAGTTCCTTGGTGTGACGGACTCGAGCCCCACGTTAAGTTCGAACTTCACATGGAGTAGCGCTTACAAATGCAAATTAACTTCCAAGTTTAGTGACCTTTCACCAGGTGGCTGCTATGCTGCAATGCCCACACGTTTTACACAGTACTGCAGTTCTCATGCCAACAGAAGGAAGGAGTTACTAATACAAACCAAAGCATCACCAACTTAATCCACAGCTGCACATTACGTTAAGATTTTTACCTGGAAAAAAAAAAATGCTTTTCTTGTCACAAAACTGGATGACCAAACACCACCATTAGGACTGTCAGGAAACCGCCTCCTTCCGCTGACTTGCAGTCCCTTTCTTCAACAACGACAGAATTTTCTGTGTGGTTGCACTTACTGTCAAAGAATAATACAGCATCTGCAGAGGCGCTGTCCGCTCCCTCCGACCGAGGGAGGGGGAGTTACTGGAGCAAAGTAAGCATGAACTTTCACGTGAGGTAGATGAGCCTGCGGGTGAAAAGTCTGCATTATAATGGCAGAGAAAGAAACATAACTAAAAAGAGAAAAGTGAAGAGAAGCAGTATACCTCAACTGCTGCCAACAAGTACTCTCTCATGAAGGTGGGTTAGCTAAGAAGAAAGCATCTATACACTGGATGGTAGCCAAGCAGTCTCCTCCTGACATGTAATTCCTCACGTCCCATCCAGCTAAGGCACACTAATGTCTGGACATTCAACTTGCACAGAGCTCCCACTGGTTACCCAACAAAGCACTAATCAGCCCAGACAGCTCTCCATCAGGAGAGGCACGTGTTTTCCCTCAGGGGAGAGAGAGGTGGATCCCTGGCGACTTAAGGAGGACTTGTCTGTACCTTGTTTCCTATAGTTCTCCTGCTGTTCTCATCCTGGAAGATGGCGGGAAATAGAATTGGGCATCTGCACTCAATTTGAGTCACTATTGGGAATGAGTTTTCCAATTCCAAAAGTGTTTGGACACAAATTTGGGATACGAAGCTGCAGACAAGTTTAACAGCAAGGTTAAAATGCTGCCCCCGCAAGGTAGGCAGTCCCTGACCTAATGGGCAAGGTACACAGAGAAAAGGTTTGGGGCTGGATTCCAGGGCCTAAGGGCTCCACAACCCATTAGATGAAATATCCACGCAGATGTTTTACTATTGGCTCTGTGTCTTAATGTATATTTTAGAATAGTTAAAGAATACCACTACACCATTCTAAAAACTGAGAGGCCCGTATTTGAAAAAATATGGAAAGCAGAAGGTAACCTTCATTCCAACAGCAAAAGTGTCATGAGTCAGAAACTGACAATTATTGCTGCTCATACAGAAAAGTCACCTACAGTCTCTAGAGGTGGGAAGACCTAATAGATTGACAGTCAGACTGTTTCCAGCCTTCCTGGCTTGGGATGCCTGTAGAACTCATACAATCTCAAGCAGTATCAACAGCTCTGGCATTCCCATGGGAACAAGTCAGTAAACACATACTCTGATTCGTTTGATTCCAGCTCGCGTGACTTGCTGACAGTCGTACAGCTCAATTCTCTCCAAGTTGTGGCAGTTCTCCAGGTGTTCCAGAGTCACATCAGTGATGAGAAGACAGTTGTCAAGCTCCAGTACCTGCAGCCTCTCGTGACCACACGTACTGTTGCTCAGGTGAAGGATCCCATCATCAGTGATCAGTTCACAGTGAGATAAGCTCTGAAACAGAGAGGCAAACAATTAACATCACTCAGTCCTAAATTAATCTAGCCTCTGGACATCAGAAGTCCTATTGAATCTCCTTTGTTCCAGTGGTTAAACAGTTACAAATAGTACACAGCTGAAATCCAGAAGAATAAAAACAAGGAACTGCTTTACTTAACAAAATAGCTGTACTGGATTTTTACTTTGTTTCACAAGTTGAGTCCCAAAACATGTCACTGGCAAAATTCCTCAGGCCCCCTTACTCTCTGTGAATGTGGGAATTCTGTTCCAGTTGTCCCACACAAGTGCAAACAGCACTGTGCCAGAAACCAGAAACAACTCTAAAGGATGATCAAGAACATACAGGAATAGATGAGCATCTGCTCAGGAGTTACTGTTTCATAGCTACCACGAGGACCAAGCCTGTGCAAGTCCACATAGATAAAGAACAATCAGACTGGACTGATTTGCCAAATAATGATTAAAAAAAAACCAAGCTGTGAGCACTTAGCACCTCAGGCTGTACGTACAAGGAGCAATAAACATCTCGTAGTGCTACAGGACCAGTCTTTTCTGCAACAGTCAGCATAATAAACCAAAAAAATCTGCTCCTCTTCAGAGTGTTTTTTTAATCCTTTGAATTTCGAGAACATGGAAAACATTGCTGCATCTCAGGCACCACACAAAGCACTTTCCTTGTTCCTTGAGGGAATTCATGACTTTTGGAGAAGCACGGATGATGACAACAACGGGAAACAAGACATTTCTCGGAGGAGGCTTAAAAACCACTCTGTCACCAGTGAAATGAATGCTCTCAAATCTTTCCCAGTAGAAACATGCAGGATCTGTGAACTCTCCTCTTGCCCTGGGCTCTGAGCTAATGCCTTTCTTTATGCTCAGCCCTGTGTTCTGCCCGTACTTGTTTCTAAGTCTAAGTCTAATGGTGTCTGGTTCTGAAGAAGCGTTTCCCTGCCCCAAGTTGTTTTTTTCAGATAGCAACTGATGAAGAAACACTTGCAGCAATCCAAAAGCACTTTTTAACTCAGAGCTGCTCAAAAGTACCTCCTGCCAATCACCTGACTGACATGAAAGCTTTCCTGACCGTCGTTACAACACATCTATCCTCTATTTCAGCCGGACAAGGAAGCCTGAGCACTACCAACTACTCTCTCTCCTGTACCTACTTTCTCTATATACATGCTCTGAGCATTTGGTTTGGCTCACAGCCTGGGACCAATCAGCAGCTGCAGGGTTAACCAATGTCTGTAACAGCTCTGCTGTTTCAAGGAAGGACAGGAGGTTCTGTGGAGCTGTTGGCTATGGCAGCAGTCACTGGCTAATTAAGAGTATTCCATCCCAGGAAGTAAGCAGCTTATAAAAATCAGCTTTCCTGAGACACGGTATTTGGTACTGAAAGGACAATACAGGATGTACGGCCGAGTTCGTAGAACTTTGTGAAACAAATATGCCAAATGACACAAACTTCATATTAAACCACATGATTTTTCTGACTTCATAAGCCTGGTAGGAAATGTTAATGATGTTGAATTTTACAAAAACAGTTGCTTGAAATCTTAAGAACAAAAATATATGGTGAAATTCTTTTCTTTTTTTTTTTTGTTAATACATATCGAATGCTGTGTATAAATCAAATACGGCCTGACATGCTGTGAGAGTAAGAAACAGTGTGATCAACTTAAATGAAGAATTCAACTGTCTTCTCATGTCCAGGAATATCACAAGTACTTCAAAGATTCTCGAATAATTTCAATGTACAATTATTTGACACTTTTGCTAGAAATTACTTTTTAAGTACAATAAGTAAAGCACTTGAGTACTCTGATACTGACAAAGATCAGTAGTTGGCTACAATTGGTCTAACAGTTCTTTTGCCTGTTTCCACCATCTACTGAGTCTCCAAACATCAAAAAACAAATTCAAAGTTGATCATTGCAACTCCAAAATATTTATTGCAAATACACTTAAATATACACTAAAGCACAACTACATAAGAGTTTATAGGACCATCAACAGTAGGTGATTTCACATTTGAAGCATCAAGATTAGTTAGTGTAGTGTATTTATCACCTGCTAGCCTTGTCTTTTCTTTC